TGTTAGTCTTAGTATTAGTGTTAGTGTTTGTATTAGTATTAGTATCAGTATCAGTATCAGTATCAGTATCAGTATCAGTAGCAGAATTAGTGGTATCAGTTTCAGTTTCAGTATCAATAACAATATTAGTATCATTATCAGTATCAGTACCAGTATCAGTTTCAGTACCAGAGTCAGTACCAGTAACAATAACAATATCACTATCAGTATCAATATCAGTATCAGTATCAGTATAAGTATCAATATAATATCAATATCAGTATAAATATTAGTATTAATATCAATATCAGTATCAATATCATTATCAATATCACTATCACTATCACTATAAATATCAATACCAATATTAGCATCAGTTTTAGTATGAGTATCAGTATGAATTTGAGTATGAATATGAGTGTATCAATATCAGTTTGAGTATGAGTATCAGCGTGAGTATCAATGTTAGTATTAGTTTCAGTGTCCGTATCCGTATCCATATTTGTATCAGTGTTCAATATCATTATCAATATACGTATCGGTACATGTTTCAATATCAGTATTTTTATCAAAATCAATATCAATATTAGTATCAGTATTAGTATTAGTAATAGTATTAATATTAATATCAGTATTAACATTAGTATTAGTATTGATATCAGTATTAGTATCAGTAGTAGTGTTAGCAATTGTATTCATATTAGCATTAGTATTAGTATTAGTATTACTATTAGTATGAGTATGAGTATGAGTATGAGTATGAGTATCGGTATTAGTATTAGTATTAGTATCAATATTAGTGTCAGTAGCAGTATCATTATTAGCATCAGTATTTGTACTAGTATCAGTATTTGTATCAATATCAGTATCAATATTAGTATTAGTATCAATACTAGTATCTATAATAGTATTAGTATTAGTATTAGTATTAGCAGTAGTATCAGTTAGTATCAAAATGAAGCTAACCTCCGTGCAACGCACGGGTGAAGAACTAGTTATTATTAATTATGATTATTATTTACTATTTACTATTTTCTATAAAATATATTATACTATAGCTATTATCGAATTTTATTTTTTTAAGAAACAAAACATTTATTCTTTAGGGGTAATTTAGTATTTTCCAATTTTCTATTAAGGGGGTTATGTGCCTCATTTCAAAACATAAGGGGCTCATGTGCAATATGTCAAAACCACAAGGGAGTTATTTGCCTAATTTTATAACATAAGGGGGTCATGTGCAAAATGTCCAAACCACAAGGGGTTAATGTGTCTAATTTCATATCATAAGGAGGTCATGTGCAAAATGTCAAACCACAAGGGGGTTAAATGCTATTTACCAACAAAAGAAAAAAAAAACATCTCATTAAGATATTAAATTTTTTTTTTCTTTCACAAAAAATCTTTTTACAAAAAATAAAAAGAACTCAAAAATATTCTTCAGCTATTTATGTATCAAGTTATTTGAAAATTATATATTTTTTTTAAAGATTTCTACCAAATATGTTCACTAATTACAATAGAAAATCCATCAATCAAAATAATTTAGTGAGAATTTTATTTTTTTCAGTAATTCGATGTGATTTTTTTTTTGGTATTTTGTACGCTCTAAATTATGTTGGGAGTGGAAGAAAATAATTATTTAATTTATTATTTTGCACCCTGGAAAAAAAAAAGTCAATAAAAAATGAAATCATCCTCATTAAGTTTCAATATTCAATTCATGTTGCATTATAGATAATTTATTATGTTTTAAGGGTGCAAATAACTATTAAAAAGTTTCAAGGATATAAAGTACCAAAGTATTTATTTTAAAGGTGAGAAGTGGAACTAACCCATTCAACGAGAGTGAAGATTAAACAGGTGTGCGATACTATGATTAGATACATTTGTAGACATAACTTGTTTTACTTTTAATTATCATCGAAATTCAACTATTTTTTCTATGAAATTTCGTAAAGACCAAAACCCCGGGGGGTGGGGGGCAGACCATATTATTTTTATGCTCTTACGGAGAGTATATATTTATAATATATTATGACCATAAAGGAGCCACATCAAATTCTTCACCAAATTATTTTTATGTTTTCCTGTTGTTTACCTACTCCACGAGTAATTGGCGTGATGTAGGGGGGTCGTTTTCGGAGTATGTTTGTCTACACCCCAAACCTGAATTGCGGAAAATATATAAAATCCAGACTCGCTATAATCTTTATTTTATTTTAGACCTAGGCTAGCCACAACTCATACTCTAAGTAAACGGTTTTGACCCGTCAGACCCGCTAGACTATTAACATAGAAACAAGTTTAATATTTTAACTTTCATAATATTTTACTTGTATATTATAACAAAAGAATCTTAAAATTAAAATACAATATTTTTAAAAAATCTACAAGTGGTATAAAGTGAATAATGAATTATATAATTAATTATATTTAACTTCAACAATAAATAATGTTCAAAAGATTAGACGGCTAGCGGTAGTCAACAAGTGATATATATTAATTATGTGAAATGAGATTTAAGAAAATGAAACGGTGAAAAATGGACAAATAAGAATAGACTCGATGAAACTTGAAAGTTTGATAAATGAAATCTTAAATTAAATTGCAGATATAGATTAATTATTAAAAATAATTTATTTATACGGATCGATCTGAGCCGGTTGCAATAAGACATATATCTAGTGGCGAATCCAGGATTTTAGCCAATGGTGTTCGAAATTGAGTATAATAGAAATATAAATAACACCTAATAAAGATGTTGGACTAAAAGTTTGCGGGGATCGGGTGCAGAGCCCCTGATTTTTTTTCTCAATAATAATACATATAAAATAATACTAATATGTAAGAAAATCAAAATTAGCAAGATCATTTACAATGTTTTCGGAGAATTTTGGGGAAAAAAAATATTGAGAGAAAATATAGTATAAATGGATTTCGTCCAATGTATGAAAAGAGATGGTACATAGGGAAACTTAGAAAAAAATCAAAAAATATTTGTTAAGATTCAATTGTACTGACAAAATAAAGAAAATAAACATAAAACAATGGAAATTTAATTAAAAAAAAAAATTAAATATTTTGAATAGTGAGTAATTTGAAATTTTTTTTTAGAAAAAATCAATAAATATTTGTTAAATTTCTATTGTACAGACGAAATTTAGAAAATAAACATAAAACAATGGAAATTTAATTAAAAAAAATATTAAATATTTTGAATAGTGAGTAATTTGGAAAAACCATCAACATTTGCAGATAATAGGATTCGTGTTATAAATATACTAAAGAAACTCAAGTAAAACAAGAATATGGGAGATCAAATATAAGGATAATAGAACCTTTTCTTCTTATTGTTAGGCTTGACCCCCTGCCTTTTTATAAAACAAAATTTAAGTACATAATGAGTTTCGTTCAAATTGCTACTGCCCAACATATGGCTAATAATAGCAATTGACAAACAAAGACAATAGCTAACTAACAAAACGTTAAGAATACGGGCACAACAGGTGGCCTAAATAATAAAAAGGACAGGGGTGGGAATGATCATAGAAGGTCGGGGAAGACCAAGGTAGACCGTTCGCCTCACCACAACAGCCGAGGCCACTTACACTTTCGCCAAAAATGGGCGAAATAGGTATAACGACTGCAAAATGTGTGGCACCATTCGACAAACAGTCTAGTCTTGATAGACCCAGACAATCCATAATCACCCCAAGCCTGCCTAACATGTAAAGTTTACGAAATGCCTAAATTGCAAATAATATAAAAACGTGGAATGCATGACACCTATGTGCGAGACTGTCGTCGAAAGGATGGATAACCAAGCTGGTCCATCCGAATCATCTGCTGAATAGGTCGGGGAAGCTCCGATGTTGTGAAGGTACGAGCCAACTCGGTCTGACACCCCAAGTTAGCTAATGCATCAGCGAATGTATTGCCCTCCCGGTAGATATGTGTAATCGTGTATTCCAAAGTAGAAAGAGAGTTCCGGATCGCCGTGAGAGAACTCTGAAGACTCCAATGACCTTTGTCCGTGTGCGAAAGAAGTCGAACATCGACTTCTGCATCAAGCTCGATCCAAACTCTAGTGAATTGCCTCTGAATAACAATTCTCAGCCCCGAGGCAAGGGCATCAAGCTCGGCTGCAATACTGCTCGGGGCAGAGATCCTCTCGTGAAATGCAAGTATGGCCTCAACGTCCGAACCTCTGATAATCCCGCCAATAGCTACAATCTGGGTGGATTCTCTACGGGCTTCGTCTGTGTTTAGCTTCACCCAACCCGGATCCGGTGGAAGCCAAACAACTCGATGAGGTGTGAGAGCTGGTGTTCTAACTCGGTAATATAGGCCAAGAGACTCAGCCACGTGGGGAATGCCAGTCCAGCTGTCCGCCGAAAGTAAGTTGGTTTGATGAAGAATCCTGATGTGCTGGATGACCATGTAAATGATGGAAGAAGCGCGAACCGTGATATCCTTGTGCTTGCTGTCATTCTTGCAATCCATAAGAACCACAAGATCAAGCAAGGTATAATGGTCGTGATGTCAGTGTGGGTGTGTGAGTGTGTGCGAAGTGAAGTGCTGCCAATAAAGTAAAATCTGAGGTATGTGTGTAGTGTGTGCAGGTGTATAGCCAAAAAGATAGAAAAATGATGCCATACCCTCTTAGCCGTCGGGCTCTCCACGAAGATATGATCAATCGACTCAACAGAAGGAGACTCGATAGACTAAGATACAAGACTCGACACATGAATAGATGGATCTGGACAACAATAGCACCTCGAGGTGAGAGAGGTGCCTCGAGACTGAAGTTTGAGATCCAGTGGAAGACGCTGAAGAAGGAGACGCCAAAGAAAGATAGAAATTGTAGGAGTAAGTAATATCCCCAAAATATACGAACAAGAGGGGTAGAGGTATGCTGCTGTCGTATCAAGGCCCAAGCCGATCAAGGTCAAGGAAAACTTGCCATCCGAAGAAGCTCTCCAAATGGGGAAATCACCTAAACCACCAGAGATCGGGACCTAGAAAATCCTATCAATCCACTCAAAAGGAATATCCTCAGCTAGCTTGTTTCGATCCCACTGACCATTAACCAAATAATACTCCACACGAACTGACGTTAGCCGACCACCATCAATAATGCCTGAAAGGGGACCATCGCCAAACTAGTGATCGTGACAAAAATAAACATGACCTGGGCCAATCCGCCAAAATATTTGAGCTTGAACACGCTCTCGGACACGGCACATACGCTTCCACACTCTGCTATAGAGTGAAGACACAACAGATGAACCTGGGAACCGATTCCGGCAATACTTGTTTCGGAGAAAACGGGCCCAAAGAGAATCCTGAGCACGAAATCGGAACCAGAGCTTGTAAGTGAAGGCGTCAATCACATCCTTCAAACGCCTCAACCCCAAGCCACCCTCACCAACTGGACGACAAATCGTCTCCTAAGCAACCCAATGAGGCCGGCGCTGATTACCCTAAGATCCCGAGAGAAATCGGGCCATGCACTGCTCAATCTGCTGAATAATGTTCCGTGGAGGTTGAATAACCTAAACAAGATGCAAAGCCATAGTCGAAAGCGTACTCCGGATCAAGGCAAGACGGCGCCCGAAAGCCAAAGTGGTCCGAGCCCAACCCGAAATCTTGGCTTGCATGCGATCAAGCAATGTCTGCAACAAACTGCCCCGGTCCCTCCCCTTGTATAGCGGAGCTCCAAGATTAATGATAGGAAGATCCTTTCTCGGATAACTGAGACCCGAGAAAATAGTGCGAAGATGACTATCAGAACATGCCCTATCAACTGTGGAAGTGCTCTTGTACACACTAATCAACTGACCCGAAGTCCGACAGTAATGATCAAGAAAATCCCTCAGCTTCTTCAGGCCAAAATTATGGCACGAGGTAAATATCATCACATCATCCGCATAGGACAAGTGGGAGATAGGGATGCCTCCCCTTGTAGAATAAAACATGCTCGGGCAATGGCTGTATAGTGCATCTAGACCTCTCGAAAAATAATCAGCCGCAAGTACAAAAAGAGTCGGCGAGAGCGGATCTCCCTGCCTTAGAGCACGAGACGAAGTGAAATACCCCGTCAGCTCCCCGTTGATTAGTAAAGAGAACTGGCACGAGGAAACACATCGCCGAATAATATCAACCAAGTTCACCAAGAAACCTATCAGCTCGAGCACATGAAATAAGAACCGCCAATGAACCCTATCATAAGCCTTTGCCTTATCCATCTTCAAAATAAGATTCGGATTTCGACAACGAACTGATATCGAGTGGACCATCTCTTGTACTAATAAAATATTATCACTAATGAGACGATCTTGAACAAACCCACTCTGAGAAGGAGAAATAATGTGGGGCAAATGAGGTGCCAGTTTGTTCGTAAGTAACTTAGTGATAATTTTGTTGGTCACGTTGCACAAGCTAATCGGGCATAAATGTGTCCAATTAAGATTGAATTGAAGTCACCCCCAGAAATCCAAGGAGTGTCACTAATCGTCTAAAAAATGTCGCGGAACGAATTCCACAAAACACGGCACTCGGAACGAGAGCAACTAGCATAGACCGCAGTAAATAGAAAAGGAGCACCAAATAAACCAGATATGCATCTAACATGCAATAATTGTACCTCATCCCTAAGCAACTCCACTCGAAAATTGTGATCCCAAAAAATCCGGATCTTCCCCGCACAATTAGACAAACCAGCAACGAAACCCAAACGACGGCAATAGTAATCATGCACAAACTCAGTCATAGGTTCATAAATAACCAATAAATTAACTCTATGTTGGCGACAATTAAAGCGCAAGTGGGATTGAGTCGCCTTATTTTTTACCCCCCTAGCATTCCACACCAAGAATTTACCCGACATCAAGAAGAGGGGGAATGGGACCCATCTGAAGATTTCCGAGATGTGACAAAGAATGAGTTACCAATAAGGTGGGCCTCCTCCGCATGCCAACGTTCGGCATTCTGCAAACGCCAACGCTCCGCATCAATCAGGCTCGATCGCCACGAGACCGAAGGTCCATCAGTGATAGAGCCTGGAGTAGCGTGATCAGTTGGGCGTATGCTCGTGGCTGGGCTCAAGGGCTCATAAGGGATCATCGCAAGGTGATTGAAAGGAGGCGTGTCGGCCAAATTTTCCTCGGCCGTGGGCCGGACCTTGGTCACATAGTGTTCGCAAAATAAGGCAGCCGACGTAGGTGTAATCGGATCCGTACCCGCCGAAAGTCCTGACCCCTCTCGTCCGTGTACCCCATGATTAAGGGGAACATCCTTGACTACCGAAGTGCCCGAAGGTGATAGAGAGGGGGTTGAGAGGGCCCCCATTGCGGTTCGGGAGCTAGAAGCTTGATTTCTGTTCTTTTTTTAGGGAGACACGGCCTGATTTTTTTTGGACATGGATAAGGCCCCAATATCATCCAAATCAGCTGCTTGATCATGGGCAATAGTAGCTATATGGTCTGAACTCATTGGTTGTTTGGTGTTAGAAGTATTTTTTCGGCCCTTTTTCGAAGATTTTGGAACATGTTTGGGGGCAACATCCGGTTGAGTATAAGCAGCCTTATATCATCTTGAACCCCACTCTCCAACAATTCAAAGGGGTTGTAATGCCAAAATCTCCTTCATTAATATTATCGACAGTAGTCCACACAATAGCTTGAGAAAAACTAGGATTTTCAGTTGATTTTGTCCCCGATGTTTTAGGAATATCCATGTTTTCAACAACAACATTTTTCCTCTTCTCAACTCGTCGCCGAACTTTTTTTTCCTTTGGTGGGGCTGTGGGTTTGGGAATCCATTGTGGCGGTGGTGGAAAATCCGGTTTTTTTAGCATTTCCATTTATATAACAATTTTCAATCGAGTGACCCAGGTGAGAACAAACGTGCAGAATTTTAGGACGTTCTCGTAGTTTACCGGCAAGGAAATCATCTCAATATCATCATAACCAGTCATCACCGGAATTTGTTCAACCCTCGGTTTAAGGAGATCAATTTTGACACAAAATCATGCAACGGATAGCTTCTTTCGATCGGCTGTAAAATCATCAAACTGAAGTGGATTTCCAATAGAAGAAGCAAGGAAGAATATAGCTTCCCGGTTATACATATAAGGAGGAACTCCCGGCACATTAACCCAGACCGGCACTATGAAGTTTCATTTTTCAAATTAAAGCCAGGAGTATATTTAAAAACACGCATGGGCAGCCCATCAATATAGCATATCGATCTTCTCAAAAGCAAAGAATAATCATCTAATACCGAACCGAGAATTGAATCAACACATGCCGATAATTCAATTTATGCAACTCAAAGGAACCGCGGGGCTTTAAATCGTAAATAAACTTCTCCATAACTTTGTAGTGAGGTATCCCATGAGAAAACTTACCAATCAAGGTGTACTTTAACGGCTCAAGCATCTTATCAACCTCCTCTTTCGAGCAATAGAGCACATTCTTGCCATCTATCACTTTAATTGTACCAATTGGAGCGATTTCTTCTCGGTTGACCAAGTGACGACGACGATCAACCTTAGAAGGAGCGATTGGAGGTCCGAGATCACCGTGTACAACAGCTGCAAAAGATTTGGTCGGGGATTGGGATTTTGGGGTTTGAATTTCGGGATTAGGGGTTTCAATTTCGGGATTAAGGTTTTTTAATTGGGAATTTTGGGTTTGGAATTGGGAATTCGGATTATGATTGTCCAATTCAGAAATAGGGATAGTGGTATAATTTTTAGTGTTTGAATTGGACGTAAAACTAGCTTGGGCCACAAGATTGGGGTTTAGGTGGTCCGTTTTAGGGTTTTGGGCTCGGGTTTGAGTGATATTATCGTGAGCCGGTTTTAGAGTGGAAGGTAGGCCTTTCTTAGGAGAGTTAGGGGCTGAGATGGGCTTAGGGGCCGGTAGTTTGAGGCTAGAAAAATCCTCATAGGATGGTGATTTTGCAAGTGGTGTAAACTTGGCGAATTGTGTGGTTGGCTGAGGTGAGGAGTTCTAGCCAAGTCAAGGGGTGAGGTGGAACGGGCGGGAAAAGTGGTTGGTGAAATTTGAATTGTGGAAACCTTGCCTTGTGTAGAAGATTCAGCTTCCACAATCAAGAAAGATTGATTGGTGAAATCTTCCATAAGTACCACGTCAGAAAAGGAAGGTCCTGATTTAGAATAATCTTGATTTGCTACACTCATTAAATGAGGAACCAAGACAAGATGAGAGTCTAGATTCATGCGGGGGCACAAGCAGCTGCTACCCACTCGAAGATCTCCACCGAGAGAAGGCGGAGATACGACGGAGACACGAAAAAACGATAACAAGACATGAAACAAAATGAGGACGAATCAAACCTCCACTAAAACTCAAATTAAAGAAGCACAACGAGCAAAAAAAACACTCTAAATGGAAGCAAAAAACGAGGCTGAGATCACAAGGAATGAAAGCAGCCCCAAAACCAAACGAAATGAAGGAGAAACAACCAAAAAATGACACAAAAACACAAGAGTACGGCTGATGCAAACACAAACACGAAAAAAACAAGGAACACTACCAAATTTTGAGAAAATTATATGCAGAGAGCACAAAACCGATTGATAATTGAACTAAAATGACAATAAGAAACGATGATCAACTAACCAGAATTGAGTGAAATGAAAAACGAACATATGAATGGCTAAAATCGATCAAAATCTTCGTAGGAAAGACACAACTTTCTAGAGAGAAGGCATAGCGTTTTTTCTAGAGAGAGAAACATTTTCCTTTTGGCGCTAAGCTATTATTTCTTGTATATTCAAGTGTGTTTTCAATCCATTACAATGACATCTATTTATACTTCTCAATGAGCATATTGAATACATAAAGTATTAATGAAGCCCACTTAAACTCTTACGTTTTTGACATCCACACTAAATACTTATTGAATGCATTCATAACACTCCCCCTTGACGTCAATCTTAATGGAATATGCATCGTTAAAAAAATTGCCAGTAAAATCCAATGGGAAAAATCTGGACAAAAGAAAAAGAGTACACATACATGTGAAGCTTGCGATTGTGAGACACTGCCTCGTTAAAACCTTGCCAAGAAAAACCCAGTGATAAAAACTTGGACGAAGGAAAAATAGTACTGTGTGTGAGAGTTAATGATCACGCTCCCCCTGATGTCGACAAAAGATCTTTGAGTCGACGCATTCCAATACTATGGACCATCTTCCTGAATGTTGTAGTTGGCAGTGCTTTAGTGAATAAGTCTGCCAAGTTGTTGCATGACTGTATCTGATGAACGTCAATATCACCATTCTTTTGTAGCTCGTGAGTGTAGAAAAACTTGGGTGATATATGTTTTGTTCTATCAGCTTCAATGTAGCCGTTTCTGATTTGTGCAATTGATACGCGTTTTCCTCACGTATAAATTACCGCAAGTATACGGTATCGCATTTTGCAGAACAGTGGTTCCGGATATCGATCCACAGGGACCTTGTAGATTCAAATGCTGAGTAGTGTAATTATATTATCGTTATATTATCTAGCCGATCGTAAATAAGTGGATTGGTGAGAAACCCTAATTTAAAAGCATGCAAGATCGTAAACATGCAAATATGGAATGTACGTAAATAAAGTAACGACAACTCAACGCGGGGGACTTCGATTTAAAGGGGACTTCTAGGGCCAAATCCACCTAGGTATAATCAACAACGATCGACAAATCCGCTATCTAAAATCACGCTCCTATTCGTTAACCCAGACGCTAATGTACTCTAACCCCCGTCTCCAGTGTAGTTAGAGTCTACCCACAGGTCCGACGTCTCCGTTCAGAACCTGCTATTAAGAGAGCATTTAGGCCAAGTCCTTAAGGGCTACCCGAAGTGCATCACGTCTCCGTTTCCACACCCCGAGCTATGTTTTCCTAACTTCAAACAAGAAATCCTCTCTCGAGTTCATTCCTATTTAATATCAATCTGAGAGCTGATCAACACAATCAGAAGCATTTAATACAGGAAAACATAAACGAAATCAAAACACGATAAATAGATAACAGAAATGACGATCGAAATCAATATATACAAGGCTTCATTGCCCTAGAAGAAAATGTTCTTAGTTCATAACAAACATAGTATCAAAAGAATGTACAAAGGAAATGAAGAACAAAACGTAAAGAAATTGCGTAAGAAAAACCCAAGTCGGAACCCCCGTTGATGATTCCCACGAAGAACCGTCGAAAACCGTAAAAAGTCGAAGAAAGTCGAAGAGTGAGGGCTTGCTTCTATTTATAGTAAATTGCAAAGC